TAAGGACAGATGTGCTCAAACTTCCAAGTCTTTAAATGATACCCAAGTATCTCTAAGTTTGTAAAGAAAAAAATCTATTCAATACTTTTGAATTTGGATCCAATGGGATATTTTATTCAAGTAATATAATTGTTGAAGTAGTAATTAGTGTAGATTTGCTTTCATGCTTAGTCAGTCTATTATATTTACTGATATTTATCACTATAATTTGTATTTACTGATGTTGAGGAACAAGGTGGAGCATAGAATCTTTTAATTATTGGACTATTTATGGAGACAGTGATTTTTATCCAGCCTGTCAGTCTGTAATACAGAGAAACACAGGCAGTACTTTGCATTAGAGGTACAAAATCTGTATTTCTCAAGACTGTGTCAATAAATATTGCTCAAGATGTGCCAGGGAGTGAGCCCGGGGCAGGAGCAGGTCAGCCTCAGTTCCAGCGGGGTTCCACAAGTGTCAAACCCCCCTTTAGGTTAGGGGAGGCTCCGTGTGGGGGAAAAACCTCTCTTCTAACTCGTGCTTGCCAAAAAAGGCTCAGCAGTCTCTTGTCTGGTCTCATGGTTGTTTATGGCAAGTTATCTAAAAGATTTTCTCCTTGAGCTGCTGTGGTTTGCTCACAGCTCAGGCAGAGGCACACACACACCCTGACATCCTCTCTGACTCCCGACTGCTTCTTCTCTCCCTGCCCAGGGCTGCTGCTGTCTTTTATATGGTACATTACGTGTTACATGGGTACAGTTTTTCCCCAATGCCCATTACCTATATTAAATGGTGCTTTTCTATCTTTTATATGGTACAATACGTGTTACATGGGTACAGTTTTTCCCCAATGCCTATTACCTATATTAAATGGTGCCTTTCTACTCTAAACCAATCTGTGGGTGCCAACATCACCAGGAACATGGAGGTGAGGAAGGAGAAAGAGGGAGGACAGGGCAGGCCCAAATCCCTCCATCTTAAACCTCTGACCCCCATGTACAAAACCAAAACCCCTGTACAGCACTCAAAAATTCTTCCCTCTACTTTGTGACTACGTCTACTCTAATATCTAAACTTTTGTGACTTCTTGTTCTCCCTGCAAGGTTGGTAAATCATTCCATGGCTCAAACCCAAAATCACAGCTGTTTCCAGCTGCCTGCCAGGGTCTCAAATGCTTCTGAGCTGGGCCCGGAACCTCCAAAAATGTCTGAGGGACATTTTGAGTTCCGACACACAAGGACATCCCCAGCGTTTCTGGGCGCTCAGGGATCCCACAGCAGCTGGAGGAGCAGGAATTTTGGTTGTGTCACTGCTGCCCTTTCCCACGTGGTGTTTGGGGTGCCCCAGTGCCTGGTGCCTCTTTCACAATAACCGGGGTGGGATTGGGATGGGATTTGGGTGGGATTGGGATTTGATTGGATTGGGATGGGATTGGGATGGGGCTCTGCTCCGACCCCCAGATCCAGCTGGGCTGGAGGAACGAGACAGAGGCAGGAAAGCACCAAAATCCAGCAGAAGAAACAAAGGGGCCAAGCAGCAGCTGGAGCTCCCCAGAGCTCCTGATTCATTTTCCTCATCACCCCCTTTCCCCTGCCTGTCCCAAGGCTCCAGGATTTAAAATATTTCATCCCATTTCAGTTCCCAGCAGTGCGTGGGCAGGTTCCTGCTGGAAGCACTGGGAGCCCGGGGGGGACTGGGTTTGTCAGGTCAGGCTCAGCTGGGAACAGGATCAGGCACAACTGGAGCTGGGCCAGGGAGCTTTAGGGTGGAGAGCAGGAAAGGTTCTTCCCCCAGAGGCTCCCCAGGGAATGGCCCAAGGCTGCTGGAGCTCCAGGAGGGTTTGGACACCACTCCAGGGATGCACAGAGGGGATTGCTGGCATGGAACAGCTCTTTCCATATTTCCCCAGATTTTAACAACCAGCTCCATGATGCTCTGAGTGGCCACAACATTTAGTTTTCCTCACCTGATACTCAACATTCCAAACCTGAATGAATGAATGAATGAATGCATGGCTGGAGCAGGAAGTGTTCCGAGAGGAATGGGAAGTGGAATATTCCCTGCACACCCTTCCCTGAGCACGCCAAGTTCAGCTCTGTCTGTCCAGGGATGTAAGGATAACCTTCAGCACCACTCAGATCCCTGCCATGAGAAAAGGAAATATTCAAATTGCACACTTAACCCACGCTGGTTCAGCACCAGTGGAAACTAAAGAACAAAATAAGAACCAGCTGCTAAAATCAAACTGCTCCTGCTGCTTGCCAGGAAACCTTTGATGTTTCCAGCCAGAACACCCTGGTGGATTCCCAGCATCCTCCTTAGGAGTGATTTTATCGTAGGACTTTCACACCTTATCTCCCATTAAACTTGAATTTTATTGTTCCAAGTTTACACTTCCTAAAGGCACTAAAGATGGTTGTGCTCATGTGGAATTTTAGCCCCTCTGCTGCTGATCACTTCAGGAGTTTTTAGAAGCTTTCTGAGATAATTTCTTCCTCCTTGTTCCTGTTATTGTTTTGCACTCCTACAGCTGCACTTCGCTTTCTTTCCAGGTGTAATTGCAGTTCTTATCTCTGCTCTCCATTGCCTGACCTGAAAATCCTGCTTGCAGAATGAACCTGTCAGCACTTCCTGGCCTCTGCACCCCACAGGACATTTCCATCTCGCAGGGATTTGCTCAGAGCAGGGGGAAGTTTCCAGCAGATCTGTTTGCTTTTCCAGAGCTGACCTGAAATTCCTCTGTCCTGCTCGGCTGCAAGTTTCTGCTCCATTTCCCTGCTCAGCTGAAACTGCTTCATGCAACAGTTGAGTTCCAGTTTCCCTGAGACAGCAAACTCCTCCTTCCCCTACTGCTGACATTTCCAGTGTAGAGCAGACATATGATATGAAATGGGATTTATTTAGGTATTTTTCCATGGATCAAGGTGTGAAACCCAATCCTCAGAGCACAGACCCTCAGCAGGGTGTGCAAACACCACCACAGCTTCAGGAGTTTCCTTCCATCTCACAAATCTCACTGACTAGAAATGAGTTTAAAGTTGGCTTTCAAGGCTTTTCAGTCTTTGTTGTGGATTTGTGTCATCCAAAATGCTCTCATTTTAGGAAGTTGAATGTTTAAATTGCACAAAATCCCTTCAGTTTCTTGCTTTACCATCAGGCTTTGGTTTTGTTCTGGAACTCAAAACTCTGACAAGTTTTAAACTTCATTTCCTCTTTCTGACTTGGCTTAACCAGGTTCCTATCTTGTATTTAGGAGGAAATAGATCCTGACAGCAACAAGATTCTTTGTTCCATGGTTATGTCCTGGAATGAGCTCCAGGAATCATTCCCAAATGCCTCTGGATTTCCAATTCCCTCACTCCTTTTACCTGCTCTGGGAGGTGCAGCTGGCCCTGAGCTGAGATCAACCTGCAGAAGGAGCAGTTTGCTGACATTAAATCCTCCAACACCAAGTTTAAAGCAGTTTTTGTCTTATTTTTTCTTTAGCTCAGTGTTATTTTGAATTTAAATACCAAGAACTGCATGGGCATCATGAGTTGTTCCTGAGTTTTCAGCCACCTTTTCCTCGGAGCAGCTGCTGAGTCATGCAGGAACAGTGACACCAGGTGGAGTCTCAGCTTCAGCACAGGCACATCCTGATTTTTCCATGGATATTCCTGCAGGAGAAGGGGGAAGAGATGGGATTGGATCCATCTCTGTCAGCCCCAGGTGGAAATGGAACCAGACTCTTCCCACTGGCATTCCAGTGAAATGATTCCAAATCCCAAAAACCCAACAGAAAGAATCTGTACCCTTGTCTAACTTTTCATGGAAAATTCCTGACACAATATTCCTCTGCAATTCCCTATTTTAAACCACTTCCAAGAGGAGGAGGCTGAAATAACACTGATTTTGTCACAAGTCCCCACCAGATCAGTGTCTCCATTTCTCAGCTTGCAAGCTCCCAAAACTGGCCCAGGAGCTGTCCCTGGAGTGCAGCCAAGCTCAGGCCCCTGGCCTGAGGTTAAAAGTGTTTTCTCCCCAAGATTTCACCTCAGCCATTTCCATTTGGGAAAATCTGACACCCCTGGAGTTACATCAGGTCATCCACAAACAGATTTTTAAAGCAATGAAAGGTGAAATCATCACCTTAACACACAAGACTTTTATCTAGGAAAAATAAATGAAAAATGAGTGTTTGCACACCCCAATCCCCCTTTTCTGTTCATTTTCCCCTCAGTTATCCAGCTTTTGTGCTGTAAGCTCTAATACAACACATTTTTTTCACCATTTTCTCTGAGCAAAACATAATCCCAAAGTTCTGCACAGCTTCTCCCATGACCTCCAACTCAAAATTCATCTGGGTGGAAATGCATCGTTGAGCAGGTCTGACTTAAAATCCTGAAGGATTTCTGTTATATAAAAAGAGCTTTTTGTGGTTTAACTCGGGGATTTTCAGAAGAGCTGCAGGGCAGGTGGCAGCTTTTATCCATGACAATGAATACCTTTGTTAATTCCAGTGGCAGTGAAAATATTGGCAAATATTTAATTTGCTGGACACTCCCTAAACCCCTCTGAGCTGCCAAAGGGGCACTGGAAACTTGAGAACCTCCAAAGAGACCCAACTTTGGTTCTGGGGAGCTGCTCCAGCCAAACAAATCCCACAAACCCAGGCAAGCCTCGGGTTCAAGACTTCAGCAGCACAGGATCCTCCTGATGAAAAAAGCTTTTCCAAGCTGGCAGCACAGCAAGGAAAGGGGGAAAGGAAGAGGGAAATCTCCAGGGATAACAGGATGAGACAGCACAAAAAAATATCCAATATTCCTGGGAGACTCCAGCAAAGGAAGCAGGGAGGAGGAAAAGGATTGATGAAAACAGCACAGTTTAAACCCAGATTTTATTATTCCCCCATCATATTATTCAGATTTTATTAAACCACCAAGAAGGAATTTATTATTCTGTCCTCTTTGGAATTGTAGAGGGCAACTGGATTTGAAAATGAACTAAAAAAATGATGAATAAAAGTACAAGAGGCTTTTAATCCTTTATAGCTGATTTATTATTTAATTGCTGTGCATGTTGCTTTTAATTCTGTTCCAGACATGGGATATAGTTCAATATTCATCACACTCCACAGGACTTTCCAATCTTTCTGATCAAGGGCTTTGCAGGGAAGTTTTCTTTGTGTAAGGGAACAGAAATTAGATTTTCCAATCTTTCTGATCAAGGGCTTTGCAGGGAAGTTTTCTTTGTGTAAGGGAACAGAAATTAGAGTCTTGAGCTTGCCCAAAATATGGATATATGGAATAATCTACCAGTATCATAAAAGGCTTCAAACCATCGTGCTAAAAAATAGGGAAAACCTTCCCCATGTGGGAAATAAAAGCTGTAACAGTAGCTTGGCACTCTACCTAAAATCCAGGAAACTGGAATAAAATCTTTCCCTCTGGACATCCTTCCTTATTTTCTCCACTGCAGAAACTGCATGGAAAGATCCCTCAGGGATGGGAGGAACTTGCAGAATTTATATTGCAATGGTTCCACCAGAAATTGAACTTTAATTGCTGATTCTCTGGAATATCATCCATAAAATACGAATTCCAGGTCATTATTTTGGGGTGCAGTGGGAGTTTTGTCACTTTTCCTGGCTTTGTGATGGTTAATTATGATCTGGGGAGTTTTTCCTCCCCAAGGGAATATTTATTGGGTGTAAGGCACTGTCCTTACTCTGTCAGCATTTCTGCCCCCTCCCCTCCAGTGGCGTCCTGGGAAATGTGGAGATCTTCCAGCATTTCAGCCAGGCTGATCCGTGGAGCTCCATCATCATCTGTGTCACTCTCCACTGGGATATCTGCATCTAGAAACACACAGAAACCCCCCCAAAAAAACAGCTAAGCAAAGAAAACAAACCCCAAACCACCAGAGCAACACCAAGGGAAAATGGGGAAAAAAATCAAACCAACAATACCAAAACAACCAACAAGCCACAAAACCAAAAACCCTCCTAAAAACTCAACAGTCCCCTCATGAAAAAAAAATGTAATTCTGTATCAAATCCTTCACCCAGCAGAGATTTTGGGTGCAGGAGGAAAGTTCTCTTTCACTCAAAGGCAAGGAAACAAAACCCATCAGGTGAAACACATCTGTGAAATACTTCACAGCATTTCTCCAGGCATGAAGAGTTTGGAGAATGCAAATAGAGAATTTCAATAAAATTGTTTTGCCTCAAACAAGATTTAAACATGATTTAATTACACCCCCTGAAGAAGTCAGGCCTTACTTCTGTAAATGTTGACATTTTTCCTTATGGCCTCATCCTCTTCCAGATCTTCCAGGAAGTCCTGGTATTGCCTGGAAAAGATGTGGGATGTATTTACTCCCTGTTCCTTTGGATTGATGGAAATTCATGCAACAAAATAAAATCACAGAACCAAAACCCCATCAGAGCCGAGAGCATCCCCACATTGCCAACTCGCCGCTGTTCTACCCTCACCCATTAATTCCCAACTCATTTATCTCTAATTTTCTTCTTTTTTCCTCTCAGCTGGAGTTTATTTAGGAGCTGCTTTGTGACTGAACAAGGAGAGCAGATACTGAACCTTTCATCATCTGTGTCTGTGGCTTCCCTGTCCCTCTCCAGCTCCTTCAGCTTCCAGTTCCTGCGGCGCTGCCGCTTGCAGCGGTCGTAGCTCTTCTTGATCAGCACCTGCAGGAAAAGCAGCTCCTTTCTGCACCTCCCAAAATCCCAAAGCAGCACCCAAACCCACATTTGGGCATCTCAAACCAGCTGGATTAGCAATCAGCAGCGTTACACTGAATTGACAGGGAGTTTGTTGGTTCAAATGTTTCCAAACACTTGGGAAATGGTCCTGAAGGGACAGGCAGACTCTGGAGTTATTATTCAGCACCCAGTGATTGGTAATTGGAATAAAACCAACAATTAATGTATTATCTAACCATGGTAATTGGAAAAAAAAACCCAACAATAAATGTATAATTTAACCATCACTAAAATATTTAAGGAAATAATCCTTCAAAATCAGATGATGCTCAAATTTCACTGTTAATATCCTCTCTTCCTTCAGGCACCGCTCATTATAAAATCACACTCCCTCCCAGCCTTGGGTAATGGAGAGAACTTTGGGATTTTCTCACCACGTCAGGAATGTGTTGGGGGTTCATCTTGTTGGCAAATTCATCATTTAAGTTGCAGTTGGCCAAGTCGAAGCTAAAACAGAAAAAGGGTTTTTATTCTGCTTTATAAAAACCCAGTCCCCAGTGGATCACGTTTGTGCTAAAGGGCAGCACAGTGCAAGGTGCAGCTCCTAAGGAACAGAAATATTTCCAGAGGAAGGGAAACAAATAAAAATCCACATTAATGTGCAGCTCTCCTAAGTGTGAGCAGCTGCAGTTCCCAAATCCTGCTCTGTTGGCACTTCCCAACCTCTGGAATCCAAACTGCCACATCCACTGAGGTTCTGCTGGGCTCAAAACATTCATGTTTAAACCTTTTTAAGCATCACCTAATTTGCCTAATCTTACAAAGAATTCACATTTGTTATCACTGTATATGATATTCATTAGCAAGCAAATAGTTAATTGGTGTTTTAAGGATCCTTCCCATTTATTTGTGGCTAAATTGTGATTCCAAGCTGCACTCTGAAGGCAATCAGCTCTCTTATTTCTAAGAATTTGTACATGAAAACTCCTTCTAGGAAAGAGATTTCCCGGATTAGGACCAGGATGATTCCCCACCTTTTGCTGCTTTCATTTTGAAATCAGAGCATTTCAACACTTTTTTCATAGAACATGAATAAAGTCATTAAATACTCATTTAATAAAAGTTTCAGAAAAGAAAAACATACCCCAAGACCAGGTCCCCAGGATTCAGGATGTGCCCCAGGTGAGTGCAGCAGAAATATTGGTGATCCGTGTCCAGCTCCGAGGTTTTCCTGACCCAGGCTTCAGCCAGAGTGTGCTTTGGGAAAGGAAAATAAAACCTTCCTTAACCAAACCCAGCTTAACCCCAACATCTGCACTGATTTAAACTCCACTTGTCATTAAACCTGTGTTTCTGCATCACACATACAATGCATCCCTTGCTACTCCTCATTGCTCCTTACATAAAAGGAAATGGACATGGCAACTCCTTGGAATTCCCAGAGACTGTTTCTATAGACACCTATTTTAGCTTTTAACTGAGATCCATTAATTCTGATTAAAAAGAAATGCTTCAACAAAACCAATTCAGGCATTAAAGCTGCAGAGCTAATATTTCAATACCCAGTAACAAGCCGAGTTTAAACTCTGCAAGAGTTCCTGGAAGTGGAATTCACATCCTGCCTGTGCCATTTCCAAACCAAATGGTGCCAAGAAAATCTTTTGCCAGTGGTAAGATCCAGAACAGCCCAGTCTGACTGTTCCAGGCAGATCATGAATTCAGCTGAGCAGGAGGCCCAAAACATGAATTAAACAGAAACATTCTCACCTTGACTGATCGAGCCCCTGCCCCAGCACCTTTTTTCTTCTCGTGGACCCTGTTGATGTCCATGATGATGAACTCCTCCAGCTGCTTGGGGTGGAACAGGCTGTTGAAGGGGTGGCGCCAGTAGGTGTTGCCATCAATATCAGCAACTGCAAAATGAGCAGGGAGAGAACTTCTTGTGGAAAAAGAACCACTAACCAAAGTGAAGGTAACAGCCAGAAACAATAATTTATTCATCACTGTAACAGAGTCATTTAGGACGTTGCTGCAGGAGCAGCTGATCTGTGACAGACTTTACTCAAAGGAATTATTCCCTGGATCTGTGGCAAGCACATTTCTCTCCCTCTCAGGATTTTTCATAGAGGTGCACAGAGAGAAATGAAAGAGAAAACAATTTCTATTTTCACTCTTTGTTTTTCTTATGTGGAATGTGTTTAGAGAATTGTTTACTTGGAGTGAGTGCTTGATTAGATTTTGGTGAGGATTGTTTGAGCCTGGTGGCCAATCCAACCCACCTGGGGCTGGACTCTCAAGAGAGGGTCATGAGTTGTGTTAAGAGTCAGAGAATGTAGTATGTAGTTTTAGTATCCTCCTTTTATATAATATATTAATATATTTTAGCACAGTTATAATAAAGAAATAATTCAGCCTTCTAAATTGAGTCAGACATCATCATTTATTCCCATTAGGTTCACCTGCATTTACAATATGGATCCATCCTTTTAGAGGGATTCTGCTGCCCAAGCTGAGCAGCACACACCAAGCACAGCACAGAATTTCTGGTCCTGAAGTGGCTCAAAATTCAACCCAGATGCCATGTAATTGTAGGGGAATAAAGCTGACACAGGTGAATGCTCAGAACATCCAGGAGCTCAAACTGAGCCTGCACATTCTGCCCAAGATCCTACGAGAATCAAGCTCAGAGAACTCTTGGCTCACTATGGAATTTCTACTGTACAGATAAATTTAACAACATTAAGGTTCAAAAATCCAAGATTTTGTGGAAACAAACCCACAATAACTGTGCCAGCAGAACAATCAGGTGCTGAGGAAAGCCCCAGACTTACTCTGCAGAGTTCTGGGGTCGATGAGGCGGATGGTGCTGGTCACTCTGATGCACACACAGATCTGGCTCATGTTCCCCAGGCTCTGGGCCAGCTTGGGTGACAGACACACAACGTTGTCCTGCAAACCAACACAACCAATTGACATTCCCATTTCCTCCATTTTTAACCAAATCTCCTGAAATAAATCTTTTAACTTCGTGTTTTTATTTTTCTAGCCCTGGTAACCTCTGCATTTCCTGTGTGGATCCCTCCCTGCAATCTCCAAATCCAAATCTTCCCACCCTAAAGGTGAAGCAGAGGGAAGCTACCTTGCATATGGGAACAATTTCCACAGAGAAAGTGCTTTTGTAGTTGTAGACATTACTGTGAATGTCGTGGGAGATCAAACGCTGGGATGATTTGGATCTGTAAAACATGAAAAAATCAGTTTTCAGTAAACAAGAGACATCACCTGGAACAGGAGATCCCCAGAACAAAGTGTCTGTGTCACAAATAGAAATATTAAGGAAACAGAAGTTAATTTTACCATAGTTAAGTGGAAAACTTGGGACTTTTGTAGAAGGGATTTTATCTGTTTTGATTAAAATACAGACTCCTTACACTTGCACTTACAAAATTCTTTTAAAAGGAAGGATTTAAGACAGCTCCCCAAAGTTCTGAGTGCTCAAGGCAATGAACAGGAGAGCTGTACCTGGATGGAACTGTAGACTGAAGGAAGTCCACCATCTTCTGGGCATGTTGCTTGGAAGAGTAATAAAAATCCAGGCCATCTGAAAAGCATGGAAACAAATTTATTTCTATTCTATTCTATCAAATATCATTTATAAGCTTTTCTCTACACAGCTCCCAGCACACACACATGAAAACATCCATAATAAATCCAGGTCATTCTGCCTCCAGAGCCACTCACCGTGGATTTCTTTGATCCTTAGTGTGTTTTGATGCAGCCTGTGCTTCAAAATCAGCTGCTCCAAATAGTAAAAAGTCTTCTTGTGCACAGTCTAAGCCAAACAAACACAAAAGCATCGAGTTTATTTAAGGAGCATCAAGTAACAAAGCAGGATTTCTGAAGAAAAAACATTTAGAGAAAGAACATCCAAGTAAACAAAAATATTTCAGAGTGCTCTACTTATATCTATTTAAAGCTTCCATTTCTCAATTTTGTGTAACTGGTTGCTAGAGAAATCTATTAAAGAAGAATTAAATATGTGTCCCGCTGTTTCCAAACTGCCTTAACACACAGGAGAATATTTAGTTATGCACACAAGATTCTCCTGCCAGCATCATTTTAAAGAATGTTAACACTGGACAGCAAAAAGTTTTTCTAAACTGAGTTAGAAAAATTTCAACAAGCTTGCACACAAAACATATCCCTGTGGCTAAGCGTGAGTACATTTTTGTGTGAGAAATCCGGAAAATCACCAAATTCTTTGCCTGATTGTTCTGCCACGAGCAAACAAAAATTCAGTTTGCCTCTACCTTCTGCCTGACTTGCACCACAGCTTTCCAGAAATCCTTGGCTTCAATCCGGTGGCAGTCTTCACACATCTGAGACTGAACAACGTACTCCACCACAAACACCTGCTGCAGAACTGCCCCATTTATCACCTGCAAAACAAAAGTGTTTGAGGTTTAAGCTCTGTTTGGCTCACAAATAACTGCAGTATTTTCCCATCTTTACTGCAACAGACAATAACTTTCTACATTCTGATGAACGGCACTTCAGTGACAAAATTTAGGCAAGGTAAAATCTAAAATTTAAAAAAAAAATTTAAAAATCCCATTGTTTGCCATAACAGCTTTTTAAAAGCCACAGGGAGAAGGTTATGCTTCAGTTACCTCTTTCTGAACAGTCAATTTGAGCTTGATTCTCTTGGAATGTGGTTCTGTCCAAATGAATCCTGCATCAATCAGCCGGACCTGCCCATGGGGAAGGACAAGAGCACAGTAAAACCAAGCCTAACTCCACAAACAGAAACTTATGGTTCAGTAAACAAGTGAATAATCTGAATTAAAGATATCCAATTAATAGTGCTTAGCTAGAACATGGAGGTTGATATAAAATCAAGATGCTCAATCTCAGGTCCTTCCCTCTAATACTATTCTGAACGTTGGGGATGTTTTATTCAACTGAAACATGTGAATTTGAGTTAATCTAGGTACAGACCTCTGCAACCCTTTTTCATATTATCATAAACCAGTGAAAACAAGCATTGCATAAATAATTTCTGAAATGTGCAAAAAACTCTGAAATTGAGGCAGATTAAAAGCACATCAGCTTCCCTCAACTCATTCTGCTCAGCTCCCATCCCTGCAGTAACAGTTGTGACCAGGCTGTGACATCCCAGCAGGATCAGCTTCTCACCTTGCTCAGGGAAGCTTTGATCTTCTTCAGACACAAAGCCAGGAGCTCTCTCGATTCCAGGGCACACTGAATCCAGGTTCCTGGAGGCTGGAGATACCTGGGATGCAGGGAGCATTTTACAGCACATTAAAGCTGCTTGGAGCAGCTACTGCCAAAGCTTTCAGCTTAGTAACACCAATGCAGCTACAACTTTTATAATCATATAAAATCATGGCAAAGCGGCTAAGGTGGCTGAGTTCATTCCCCCAGCACTGCCAAAGCCAACAATGGACCACATCCCAAAATGCCACATCCACATGGCTTTCAAATCCCTTCAGGGATGGGGATTTCACCAGAGCCCTGGGCAGCTGTGCCAGGCTGGATATCCATTTCCAGGAAGAATTCATACCGATACCCAAACTAACTTTTCCCTGGCTGTGTGCAGAAGCAGAAGGCTCCCCCGAGCCTCCTCTTCTCCAGGCTGAGGCCCCCCAGCTCCTCCTCACCAAACCTGGGCGCTTCTGCCTACCGAAACCCCGAGATGGATGCACTCTGGCTGCATTCCAAGGGCATTCTGCGCTTTGGCGGCTCCTCACCTCTCGCACTGCTTGCAGAAGTGCACCGTGCCCTGCTTGGGGATGCCCTCGGTGATGTCCACCTGGGCCCGCAGGCAGCCCACGCACATGTTGGCCGGGTTGGGCGGGATGGGGACACCGCACTGGCAGCACAGGCTGGGACACGGGGACAAAGAGAAGCACAGTTAGTCACGGCCACAGCCACGGTCAGTGCCACCACCGGGAACGCCAACCCCACCGCTCACATGTGTCCCTGCGCCGGGGCCGCGGCGGCCGGCAGGTACTCCATGGCCGCGGGACGCGCCGCGCTTTCCGGCCGCCGGAGGAAGGGGAGGAGATGGCGGGGCGAGCCCGGCCCGGCCCGCGGGAGGGTGGAGCGAGGGGGCGCGGAGAGAAGGGAAGGAGCCGTGAGGGAGCGAGGGAAGGGCCGGCAGGGAGCCGTGGAGGGGTGGGAGGGAGCCGTGAGGGAGCGCGGAATGGGCCGTGAGGGGCCATGGAGAGGCGGGGGAGCGGTGAGGGGATCATGGCAGAACTATGAGGGAACGTGGAAATGGTCGGGAGGGAGCCATGGAGGGGCGAGTAGGCTCCGTGAGGGAGCCGTGAGGGAACGCGGAAAGGGCCGGGAGGGAACGCGGAAAGGGCCGGGCGGGAACCGTGAGGGAACCATGCGGGAGCCGTGAGGGGCCATGGAGAGGCGCGGGGAAGTGGTGAGGGGATCATGGCAGAACTATGAGGGAACGTGGAAAGGGCTGTTATGTGGAGAGGCTGGAGGGAGCCGTGATGGAGCCGACATGGAGAAGCGGGCGGGAGCCGTGAGGGAGCACGGAAAGGGCTGACAGGGAGCCATGGAAGGGTGGGCGGGAACCGTGAGGGAACCATGCGGGAGCTGTGAGGGAACACGGAAAGGGCCGTGAGGGGCCATGGGGAAGCGGTGAGGGGATCATGGCAGAGCTGTGAGGGAACGTGGAAAGGGCTGTGAGGGGGCCGTGATGGAGCCGACATGGAGAAGCGGGCGGGAGCCATGGAGGAGCCCTGAGTGAACCCGGAAAGGGCATGAGGGAGTCATAGAGCGGGTGGGAACCCTAAGGAACGTACGCTGTTACAATTAATTAATTAATAATTAAATGATATTTTTATTTACAAGGAGCCGGTACAGTCTATTCGCTTTGTATTCCGTTCGTGATGTACCATAAGCACCCTATGGAAAGGAGGAACCGCCATGGCAGGGGGTCAGAATTAAATGACCTTTAAGGCCGTTTCCAACCCAAAGCAATCTGGCATTTGATGATTCTGTGACACCAAGGTCTGTTTGTGCATCAGCATTTGTTTCCTGCAGGTTAGGCCGGAGAAAAATAAAGCTAAATTGCATGAACACGTTGTGTGGGATTTATTTAATGTGTAACTCTTCACATCCTGCTGAAAGTGAAGAGTTCTTTCACTTGAGGACTGAAAATCACAGCCTATTGAGCTCTCTGCTGTGTTTTTAATTCTTTGGCACATTTTTCTTTGGTGTGCTGCTTGTGTTTACACAGCTACTCACTTCTGCTCCTTTGAAATTTAAGTTTCTTTATAGACCTTTCTGGAGACTTACTATGGACCATATTATTAAAAACAATAAAAGGAAAAAGCAGAATAAATAAAATAAATGTTTCCCTGCTCTGAAGTTTTGTTTCAGAACCTCTGCCGCACAGTGGGTGTTACATAGTTTTTACTGTGAAGCCCTGATGAATCACTCGATCTTTGATTATGGAATAAAACACTTCCAGGCTGGCATTTGGAGAGTCTGGCATTGGGAGAGGGGTAGGACAAAGTCTGTCCTTTATGCAAGCCACATCTTTGAAATCACTGGGAGGAGAACTGGATCACGATAATGCTGGAAAAGTTTCTGTTGCAGATTTATTTTCTCCACTTAATTTTGGTGCTAATACACCAAATCCCACCTCAGCTCAAGGCACAGCCTCAGTGAATAACAAAACTGGGTTCTTAGTAGTCATCAAGGTACTTTGTGTTGCCTCTGCAAGCTCTGGTTGTCATCTGGCTTCCATGGAAAATTTGTGTTTTAAACTGTGTTACAACCACTGAAGGATTTTATATTTTTGCACTAAATGAGGTAAAAAGCATAGTACCTTGAATCTCACCCCTAGTGAAAGCCATATCAGTTTGTACTGATTTCTTACATGTTTTTCAGTGAGTTTTAAATGTTGATTTTATATAGGCATTTTCTACTTCTACTGCGATATTCTTTCACAGCATTTCAAGGATCTGTGCCACAGGCAATGACAGCGAGCACACCATTTAAATATATGTTAAATGTAAAAAATTCACACTATTCAGAAATGGATTTCAATACAGATTTGCTCTCAGGTTTATTTGTGGATGGCTGAGCCCTCAAGAAAGTTCCTGTAGGTGCTTTTGGGAAAGCTGAAGTGCCAAAGCAGAAAAACCAGGAGATTTGTGCCAGGGACAACAGCTCCCAGCAGCTTCATTTTCAGTAGGAATGTCCAAGAGAATGGTAAATTCATGGAATATCCCTGTGATTAATTTAACAGACACCTGAGGTCACTCTTCCCTCACATAAACTGGATCCAGGAAAGGAGGTGCTCCAGGAGCTCCTGGACCTTTCCTCCTGAGGAGCTGCTCTGACCTTCCCAAAGAGGGTTTGTTCTGGGCTGCTGTTTTCATTTTCAGCATAAAACTGCAGGAATTTAATAACACAATCAAAGAGTGTTTTACACTTATATTTTCCTATTCACTCCTATATAAATTTGGGATTCAGAGCAGTGTGCACATCACAAACAATAAAAAAATCCTCCTTTAACTGTAGGATTTTAGTAACGGCATCCAGATGGGAGCATGGGAAGGGCTGTGCAATAACAATTAAATACCTTTCTGATCTTTACTGCTGCCCAATTTAGTTCTGAGGAGGATCCTGGAGGTACCCACTCTGTATTTCTTTACAAATCTATTCTAGAATTCTTTACAAATTATTTCTCACAAGCGTTTACACATTTGTGGCAATTTTGCTCTTCCCATTGCAGGAAGCCACGATTTAGTGAAATGGAGCAGTTTCCATTCTGACAACAGAGGAATTTCCAGGATTCAGAGAGGAATTAATAGAGGAGTCACCAGGATTCAGAGAAGAGCATTAACAACAGAGGAGTCACCAGGATTCAGAGAGGAGCATTAACAACAGAAGAGTCTCCAGGATTCAGAGAGAGGAATTAACAACAGGAATTTCCAGGATTCAGAGAGGAATCAACAACAGAAGAGTCACCAGGATTCAGAGAGGGGAATTAAAGGCAGGGCTTTTTACAGGAGCTGTTTCAGTTCCCAGTGCTACCAGAGACATTCTTGGGCAGGAACAGATTGTGCCTGGCCTGTGTGTGGGGTGGCAACTCCCAGGTTTATTCCGAGCCAGGATCCAGCTCCCACTTTGTAATCAGACATCTCCAAGCTGTCTGTTCCTTTGGAAAGCAGAGCTCTCCTTTCTTGTCACAGATTGCAGCTGGGAAGTTGCAAACTGGTAATTTCAGCAAGGGCTGCTGCTTCAGCGTGTCCTCTGTGATCTGAACGGGAGGAATAACATTCCCTGATTCCACTGGGACACGGCACTTCCAGGGGCTGCTCGCTGTGTGTTCACCTGCACTAAATTTACTGGGATAATGCTCCAGTTATTTTCCAGTTCTTGCCTATTTCTTCAGTTCTTGTGAGGAATCCAATTAGCAATCCAATTTACAGTGAGAGCCACGAGCATTATCACTGCTGAACTTCAAGGCAGGAACAAAAGGAGCCACAAGAGCTCCTCTAAAATAGCTTTGTGACAGGGATGGGGATATTGTGACATTCCACTGTCAGCTGATGGAGGTGAAACTGTTGCATCACCAGCTTTAATGAGCGTTGTCACAGCACAAATACCCGTGGGTTGGCTTTCTTTTCATGTGTGTGTGAAACCTGCACGTCAAACACGTCGGATGCAGTTCAGGGATACCTCTGGAAGTGCTGCCCTGTGTCAGAGAGGGGATAACTCCCAGCCCTGCTGAGGCAGCTGGGAGTAGCTGGATGCTCAGCATGCCAGGGGCAGAGCTGCTGAGCTTGTGCTTCCTAAATCCCTGGAACCTTTTAAAAACTCCTGCTGTGCCTGTCCTGGGCTCACAAGCAGTGGGATTTGTCTTAGTAGCCATTATTTTCCAAACTGTACTGAGCTGCTCAAACAAGGAGGCATCCCAGATTAATGAAAGTCGATTTAGATTAGAGATGAGGGAGAAATTGTCCCCTGTGAGGCCCTGGTACAGGTGCCCAGAGCAGCTGTGGCTGCCCCTGTGAAACGTGGATGAAAAATTAAACTCTACAATTTTAATAAAGATTTGTAGGGAATGGGTATGTTTATTTACAGTGCTGTGGATGCATGTTGGGACTTATTGTTCTTAAATGGATATGCGTACCTCTGAGAACTCTCAATCTTTTTTATGACTCTTATTAATTTTTATATGCATAGAATTTTACAATAGGTTAAGTACAGAAAGAACTCCTGGGTTACACTGCCTTGTCTGTTTCAAGGCCTGAGGAGTCTTTCTTATTTTTTATCTTTTAGTGTGGAAATTTGCATTCTTTTTCCTTCGCTGGGGTAGCTTTTCTAGGGCTGTAGTCACCAGACTAAATAGCATATTTATCAAGCTCAAAGTGGCACATTTTACCTGAATCTAAATGGATTTCTCCAAGGCCAGGTTGGACATTGGGGCTTGGAGCAGCCTGTGAGAATGGAAAGTGTCCCTGCCATGGTAGGGGAGAGGATAGGATGGGATTTAATTTGCCTTCCAACCCAAACCATTCTGGGATTCTGTGAAATTGTGATGACTCCAACATCATGGCCTATCCTTCCTTGATAACCACGGACAGCCATGGCCAAGGTTTCACTTTAAGGCAAGCATGGACACGAGCCAGGAGGTGTGTTTGTGTGTTTGTTACCAGGCTGCACTGGGCATGAACCTCAGACTAAGAAATAATTGTTTTAAAAAGATAAATATTTGCTCATCAGAACATGAGAGGGATCTGAGATGATCATACAGGAGCTGTTTGCTTTCCACTTGCTTTGGTAATCTTCCGTGTGCCAGCTAAAACATCTCATCCCATTAAAGGAATCCTGCTGAGAGGTGGGGTGGGCTGAGAGCTGCTGGGAGAGGACAAGTGTGCACATCAGGAGAGGTTCAGGTTGGGTATCAGGAAGAATTCCTTCACTGAAGGAGTGGTTAAGCATTGGAATGGACTGCCCAGGGAAGTGGTGGAGTCACATCCCTGGAAGTGTTTGAACAACACTGCATGTGGCACTTTGGGATATGATTGAGTGGGT